CATTGTGAATGTTTCCATAGAACCTGTACATGTTGTTCTTCAGATGATGATATTCGGCAGAACGAGGGTTTCAAAAACGTGTCTCTAGGAAATGTAATTGCTGCGACGCCAAAACAGAAAATGAATTTCATTGACCAGGAGGATGAGGTAATTATTTTCAGAACTCAAATTTATCCATAGCAAACCCATGTGTTTGAAGGATCTGATGCACGAGTATCACAAAGATTCCTTCGAAGTTCAAGTTGGTCTGCACGAGTTGCTCGGTCATGGTAGTGGGAAACTATTCCAAAAGAATGCTGATGGCACGTTCAATTTCGATAAGAACACCAAGGATATTATCACAGGGAAACCGGTTAGTGGGTTGTTTTCTCACTTCTGAAAGAGAATCCCTTGCTGTCGCTATTATTTGTTGTTGTTTTCTCTGTTTTATGGAATTTTTTGTATAATGATGAAATTTTGGTTTTCAGATTGCAAAATGGTACGAGCCGGGTGAAACCTGGTCGTCTAAATTTGGAGTGCTTTCTAGTGCCTACGAAGAATGTAGAGCAGAGGCTGTTGGTTATGTGCTTTGTTGTGATGCTGATATTTTAGAGTGAGTAAGCTAGTATTTCCGCTCTGCAAACGCAAAATGAGTTCCTGGAGTGAAATGTCATGTATTAGTCAAAAACCTTGATGTTAAACACTTCTTTTGAAGGTGTCTGGTAACAAAGTTCTATTCTTGCAAACTCAAATTTCCAAAGGCAAAAGTTTGGGCCGAACCGGGATTCGAACCCGGGACCTCTCGCACCCGAAGCGAGAATCATACCCCTAGACCATCCGGCCACAGGCGCGTTTCGGAATGCCTCGCTCAAATGAGAACCAGCGTTCATTTGCCTATCTTTCGCTTGCATTCGTATTGCATTGCAGCCTGAGATTTGATTTTACAATGTTTACATGTATAATTTTACAGGATTTTCGGCTACACGGGTGAGAAAGCGAAACTGGTCAAGTATGTGAACTGGTTAAACGAGAATTCGGGCTGGATTGCTTGCTCTGAGTTTTACTCTCCAGAAGCGCAGAAGTGGGGTCAGGTGAGATTGTCTACGATACTTTCGTTACGATACGATAGAATGTAGATGAAAGTACATATTTTATGAATGTTGGCATGGTGGAGGTAGAACTTGGTTACATTTCATATTTGTTGGAATGCTTCACGCAATGAGGTGTGGAAGGTTTAAGCATGGTGTGACTTAGCGTGGGTCACTTATCTATGATGTAGCATCATTGTGATTTTTGAAGTGAATCAGAGCACAAATTGTAAGGAAAGTCAACTACAGTCTTGACCTTAAGAGATATTCGATGGCTGCTCGTTCTAGAGCGAGGTAGATAGAGGAGTGGTGGCCTTTCCCAGATTTGTCTTTACCGTCTTTACTTACTGTGTTAAGTTTATCTCGTGACTAGCGCAATTCTTTCTGGCCGTGGCCTAGGCTACCAATGAGTGTACGAGGTTTTAATTGCTATTGGATTGAAGTATTCAGGTTTTCATAATTGAGTTTACTTACGTGGTCAACAACAAAAGTGATATGATGAATACGGACAAGCAAAGCATGGATGGTTATAGAATTTCACTTGACGCTTGAAATTGCTATAAAACAAATGGGAGTCAGAAATTTAATCTTCTTTGCTGTGAGATTAAAAGGTTAGGAATTCCTAATTTTCACAGAGATCTGTCATTAGATCAATGAAAACAATTACGGCATCAATTCTTACCTTAATATCCGTGTATCTATCTCTTCAGGCTCACTGCTATGCTCGCTTTGTGCTGACAAAAGTTTGTCTCGAAGCTGGTCAGGGCTTTGTAACGATCACAGAATGCGTGGGCGACGACGGGAAACCCGATCTCAAGTTCAAGCTTGATCGAACAAAGATAGACTCTGTTGGCCGCCCGGCAGTGACCGCTTTTCTGGCAAAACTACAGGTGCGATAGACATTCATAGCAAGTTTAAGATTTTTCGATTGCTTCTGAAGTCAGTTTTTTTCTCGAATTAGTTATCATTTCCTATCGCAGTTAAGATGCAAATGTACTCAGGGTGCTGGAAACGTAGACAAAGCATTCAGGCTCAGAAATTAGAACCCGGACGTGTGCTGTTTGAGCACCGTGCCACTTCAATGTTTGCTGAAACCCCGCTCTCCTTTTTCCATCTTTTTATCTCATTTTTAACAATGTCAGTATTCCAAAAGGTAATTAATCTCAATTTAAAATGAATGCTGAGGAATTCCTGCAGTATCGGTCGTGTATTGGTGTAGCACGGTGCTCTGGAGAATAGGTGTGAATCCCATCTCAGACCTTTTTTATTGTTAAACGGCACCTTGAGATGTCTGAGCACTATCTTGCAATTGAAGTTGTGCGGGCTGTGTAACTATGCTGTCAAATTAGGTTAACTCAGGTTTTTCTAAACATATCTTGTTCAGGCTTACAAATCTATTGGAGATGTCGAAGGTGGCACGAAGTTGTTCGAAAGCTACGGTAAAGTAACCGAGCGAGAGAACCGTTGGCGTGATATCTGCATTGCTCGACGGAAGCCGCGACGTATATTTGTGCAGGCCAACACGAAGATAGACGATAAAGGTGCGTAGTAGTAGTTGTTTCTCAAAGAGGAGCAGTGAGAGATTGTTGTTGGGGAGATGGTTTCATAGGTCTTTAAAAATATTCGAGTCGTTCAGCTGGGTGCTGAGTTGAAATAAACTGAAATAGCTATCCTCTCACTGTAATGCAACAGTTCACCTTCCCTGTTTTTTGCGTTCCATCCAGTTTTCTTTCTCTCGCGCATTGAAATATCTTTTTGCCTTCCCGGTTATTTGAGTAGTCGAATTACACTGATTTACGCCAACTTGTCGCCGCATATGACAAATCTTGCCCATTTGCTACCAGTTGAGAGCCTTATGCGGCTTGAAGTGGGGACGCACTTATTGCCGCGTGGGATGAAGTTCCAAATTTATCACGATAAAATATTATTCACGAAGGCATTGTAATAATTAGGGCGATCACGATCCATTTATATGTTAGCCAATGGATGTTCTGCTCAATGGGTATTTGGAAGTGATTTTCTGTAGCAGAGCATGTTCTTTCGAATGCAGCTGGTTTTTTGCTTGCAGTTAAGAATTGCTACAAAGAACAGATCTGATCCGGCTCTTTTGCGGATTATGGAGTAGAAAACTGAGCCCTTTTTAACTTTCTTCGGAATACTCCGTGAGCCAAACGAAAAAATTACGCTTGCTTC